ATGATAGTTCCCCATAACTATAACAGATCTCTTGCTCTTGCTGTGATATATAACAGATCTCTTGCTCTTGCTGTGATATATAACAGATCTCTTGCTCACAGTGAATATGTAGGACTCAAAACAAGTTTCTAGGTCTCATCACCAATTATATACTAATCTCAAATAAGTATGTTGGACTTATAAAGAAGTATGCAGAACTTAAGAAAAATTCAGGAGATAATGGGGCTAGCAGGTGTTTGTAAACACAGCGTATGTGTTCTAACACCTGCTCCCTGGTAGTATTATAGAGGCGTTTGGGCAGTCTGGCAATTACGTCGTTACATTTGGTATTGGTTCTATAACTGTGTCGTTCACATAGACCCCTAGACGTACAATACTTCCTGGGTCTTCATGCCCTTGGTGCTTAATGGGCTTGAGCAAGAGGTTGAAAATCTCTATGACGCTCTGTGTGGTGCAGCAGTGTTGATAGCTCTGTGCTGTGCTCTATGATAAGCTGCGCACATCCGTGATGTACACAGAACTCTACATAGAGTACAGTTCTGCAGGGTGTTCTGTGGTGCTCTCTTATCTTAATGCCTTATTGCTAACTCTCATGATACCTCCATTGCCCATTAGCTGGAAGAGGAGGACGCGAGAGTGCTAACCATGACTTGGGATGGGGAATATTGCCTCCAGAATGGACAACATCATGGATGGTAATGGGGACAAACCCAATAGATGTATCAGTGCTAATGGCAATGATATTGGTAAACGTGTTGAAGGAATTGCTTACCAATTATAGAAAAGCCATGGACTTAATTAGGTCAGCGTAGGGATAAGGATATATGTAGCATTTTATCGACAACATTTAATCCAATGCTATTGATATCTATTACAGGAATAATAAATATTGCCATCGCTTACCCCTATACACACACACACACACACACACACATATATATATGTGTATATATATATATATATATATATATATATATATATATATATATATATATATATATATATATATATATATATATGTGCGAACAAGCCTGAATGGTCCCCAGGACTATATGCGAATGAAAACTCACACCCCGAAGTGACTCGAACCCATACTCCCAGAAGCAACGCAACTGGTAACTACAGGGCGCCTTAATCCGCTTGACCATCACGGCCGTCAAAAGGAAGTGATAGCCGAGGCTATTTGAGCCACTTCCCCGACGGCAACTCGGATGGTAATCTTGGGCATAGCATTTCACCAAATCACCTCATTCTTTGGGGCACACGTGAGGAACACAAATGCGAACAAGCCTGAATGGTCCCCAGGACTATATGCGAATGAAAACTCACACCCCAGAAGTGACTCGAACCCATACTCCCAGAAGCAACGCAACTGGTAACTACAGGGCGCCTTAATCCGCTATAAAGGATTATAGTCCTGGGGACCATTCAGGCTTGTTCGCATTTGTGTTCCTCACGTGTGCCCCAAAGAATGAGGTGATTTGGTGAAATGCTATGCCCAAGATTACCATCCGAGTTGCCGTCGGGGAAGTGGCTCAAATAGCCTCGGCTATCACTTCCTTTTGACGGCCGTGATGGTCAAGCGGATTAAGGCGCCCTGTAGTTACCAGTTGCGTTGCTTCTGGGAGTATGGGTTCGAGTCACTTCTGGGGTGTGAGTTTTCATTCGCATATAGTCCTGGGGACCATTCAGGCTTGTTCGCATTTGTGTTCCTCACGTGTGCCCCAAAGAATGAGGTGATTTGGTGAAATGCTATGCCCAAGATTACCATCCGAGTTGCCGTCGGGGAAGTGGCTCAAATAGCCTCGGCTATCACTTCCTTTTGACGGCCGTGATGGTCAAGCGGATTAAGGCGCCCTGTAGTTACCAGTTGCGTTGCTTCTGGGAGTATGGGTTCGAGTCACTTCTGGGGTGTGAGTTTTCATTTTCATATATATATATATATATATAAACTGATAAATATTTTGCAAATTAAAAAAAAATACAGCTATTACATTGATTGTATTTAATCTGCACTCTATTGTAATTATATTTCATAGAGAATTGAAATCTATTGGCATGAACACCAATGTTTACCAGTGTTTGTAATTGTTATGGTGGAGGTGGTGGTGGTGGTGGTGGTGGTGGTGGTGGTGGTGGTGGTGGTGGTGGTGGTGATGGTGGTGGTGATGGTGGTGGTGGTGGTGGTGGTGATGGTGGTGGTGGTGGTGGTGGTGGTGGTGATGGTGGTGGTGATGGTGGTGGTGGTGGTGGTGGTGATGGTGGGGGTGGTGGTGGTGGTGGTAGTGGTGGTGATGGTGGTGGTGGTGATGGTGGTGGTGGTGGCAGTGGTGGTGATGGTGGTGGATGTGATGGTGGTAGTGGTGGCGGTGATGGTGGTAGTCGTGGTGGTGGTGGTGGCGGTGATGGTGATGGTGGTGGTGATGGTGGTAGTGGTGGTGGTGGTGGTGGTGATGGTGGTGGTGGTGGCAGTGGTGGTGACGGTGGTGGTGATGGTGGT